TAAGCCACTCGCTCTCAGCAGCGGGGCGTACACGCAGCGCACCGCCGGCCCCGCACGACACCTCCACAGCCCCACGGGATACACCACGGCCACTGGGACTGTCATTATCAACAGCAGCAGCAGCCATGGTATACCCGCAGGCAAAGCACAGCACAACGGCCAACACACACATCACACGGTGCATCATCATCATTATGAGAGAGAGAATAGTTTGGTTTGCGTAAAAACACTGATCTAGAAAGAAAGAGAATCAAAAAGTACAGAAAGAAAATAAATGAAGTATCAAACATGATAGGACATACAAACATCGATTACCACAAAAGAGACTCACATCGTGAAAGTAAAACCTACCAGTTAAAGAATGCAATACAGCTCAATAACCTCAGTAAGAGTAAAAACAAAAAAAAGAATGCCCACACTCACAAATATCTCAAAAAAGTCTGAACCACCCAGCAAACTCATCAAGCGAAGAAAACAGATATTAACCATTAGCCCAATTTACACAGTAAACACAGAAATATACACCAACTATGGGTGTAATTCTATATGTATGTATACGCAATTATAAATATAAATTCATCTGTTATTATTATTTTTTTTTCTTTTTCCCACTGCAAAAAGCAGTTCATCATCATAATTACAGTGCAAGCCCAGAAGCACACACACACAGAGAGAATCTCCAAGAACACACACACACACACAATGGAGTAGCAATAATAATTATTATAGGATAAACATAGAGAGCAAAAACACACACAAAACACATTAACATTAAGAAACAAAAAAAAAGAGAATCCCAACAGGTAAAAGATGAGTTAGACTGTAGTGTGGATGTATGCAAAAAAGAAAAAAAGAAAGCAAAGGATGACCTGAGTCACACCACACAATCAGCACACAAGAATACAGGCCAGTGTAACCACAATCAGTAGTGGTACACGCACCCATACAGAACTGCTGATACTACTGCTGCTGCTGTCTGCATCACCCTTCTTGTTGTTTGTGAGTTCAGGAGGAAATGTTGTAGTGGTGGTGGTTGTATCTGTATTTCCTTCAGCACCTTCTTGGGTACTTGGTGACTCACCCTCTGTAGGTTTACTGCCATTCTCAGCCGTTGTAGCATCACTCCCAGCACCACTTTCTCCTTCACTCCCTGTGGCTGAATTGTTGGTTGAAGGAGAAGTGGATTGTGCCGCATCACCTCCCTGGTTAGCTCTACTCTCTTCTGTTGTACTGCCGCCTCGTTCTTCAGGTTGTGGGTCAGTTGCGGACGTATCCCTTCTCTCCTCAGCAGTAGATTCAGATGGAGGAGATGCATTAGAAGGAGCGGAAGAAGAGACAGGACCACTACCAGTTTGAGTATCAGAACCCTGCCGAGTGCCAACTGTACCTCTTTCATCTGTAGTACCAGCAGGACCCTGGTCACCTCTTTCGCCAGAAGGAACAGCAGGACCAGCAGGTTGATCGGAATTATGCCCATTTCCTGCGACTTGAGTACAAGTACGACCATCAGTAGAATCAGAAGGCGTAGAAGAACAAGACGTATCAGCACTCTCAGAATGACAATTA